TATATATATATATATATATATATATATATATATATGCACCGACGAATATTTAAATTTCAAAAAGCTTGTTTTTTGTAATAAGTTTTTCTAATTTCAATATCTCACCAATGTATTTTGCTTTAGACTTACCACCATTTGCGTATCGCAAGCTAAACTGTCATTTCGAAGACGTGAAAGATGCTGGAATTAGGCTAGCATCCCAACTGGGAATGGATGAAAATGGTGCTTCACAAATTGACCAGTTGTACAGGATGATCCATGCCGACCAGGAACCATATTTTGTGTATGTTGAACCTTTTACGGTTGGTACTTGAAAACTTAAGGTTTTAAAGTATTTTATTCATTTATTCATTTCTTTTTCTTTCACCTTTTTACTTGTTTATTACTATTAATTATTAAATCTTAGTAGTTTACAGTCTTGCAAATTAAAACAGAATATTAAAGGGACGTCGACTTATGAAAGTATGCATTCCTTATTGTTACAGTATGAAAATTTTTGTAGAATTTTTGGGTTTTCTGCTCTTATTCGGCGCCTCATTTGATAAATTCTTTCAGCTTCTTCAAACAATGATGCAAACACCGCTGGAAATGTTTATTTTATTAGATCGTTTATTCTTTTTGAGGGAACATGGCTGTTCTGCTTACATATTGTCCGTATTCAATCCAAAGATTTCTTCAAGACATCTTTGTATCATAGCTTCACCTTATTGATATGAACTTGAAGACTGCCGTCAAAAATTTCAATTAACCGTGTGAGATCTGTGAAATCTTAAAGTTGGAAAGTTTCTTGGTATGTTGAGGTTAATTTTATTCAGAATAAAATTTTAAAGATTCTTTAACTTCCTTGATCTAGTTTCAATTTGTGGTTATGATTGAATTTGAATATTACCTCACTTGAGTGACTTGTACGGGCCAGCAATTATATACAAAATGTTTTCTATGTAGGTTTAGTAACATGCTAGGTATGACGACGTATAGATTCCAGCAAGAGGTCACACTGTGATTTTCTTATTTATTTCCAGTTTAACCAATTTTTTTTCCATATCTTTGTCGAACATATTTTCTTTTCTTTTTTTTTAAAATCCGATTTCGATAATATGTTCTGTTGAATATAGAGCGTTTTTGGAAAAAGAGTACATACATCTATCAGTTTAATCGTGTTAATGTGAATAAAATCCAATTGTTTATCTTCATCTTATTTTTATCGTTATTTTTCAAATGAATCCTTGCTATTCATACTTTTACTGTAATTCTATAGAAATTTCCCTTTTAAACTTTTACAGATTTTGTTAAATACCAGTAAAGGATAACAGCGGATCCTTTGTTTTCATAAATATTTCTTTTTGGAATTTAAAGTCTCTTCTACCATCAGAAAATCTAGAATTCCCACATTTTACTGAGGTGATGCTTAAAGTAATGCCGAACTAGCCATTTCGATTGTTAGTGTAAATAGAGACCACCAGCATTAGGTTGTACAGGTTTTACAAATAAATTGTGCATGTCTGCCTAGTAAATGTTTCGTGGAATAATCAATAAATCCGTCTTGGCAGAAAAACTGCATTATTTTACAATTATTAAAATCCATTTCTAACCTACCAAGTTGCAGGCATTATCTAATGCCGAAAATCAATCTGTGCACCAAAGTACCGCACATTCTAAAGATTACGAAAATTCCTGAAGTTTTTAACCACGGTAGTACGATTTATTAGTGTATTCTATCTGATTCCATTTTAACCCAAACAAAAAGTCCTCAAACTAGAAGTTGATATCCTAAAATTCGCTTACTTCACAAATCGGTCATTTATATGATCAGACAAGTACAAATAAACTTGTATAGCCACTATTTGTTGGATCACCTCCATTTTCTAGGTCTAAACTGGGATTCCAAGGCAAGAGTTCCGAGAGTTATTTTTGCATTCAATCGGTAGATCTATCTGAATGCAATGTCTACAAGGATCGATCTCTTGTTCGATGATGTTCTATCACTCTATCACGATATAAGGAATTTTTGAACACTGAAAGCTGTTTTTTTTTCCCTCATTCAATATACTTTCATGGATCGCCTTTCAGTTGTATTCAATTTTGAAGTTCGAGAAATTTCGGATTTAAATTTACAAAAATATTCCGATTTGGGTAGCAAATATTTTTACGTCAAAAAATTTATTTATCAAAATAGGCTTTGTCAAGACTTTGTGAATTGTGATAGTCATTCTTCTTGTTTAAAGGTTTATTTTTATACCCAAAATTACTCCCAACAAATGTGACATTAACAACAACAAAGCTATGCTGATTCTTAAAAAATCCTTTTAGACCGGAGAAATTTACGAAATTGTCATATTTATGTTCTATTATCGATTTACTTAATTTAACTTTGTGATCAAAAATATATCCATTACTAAACTATTGTATGGTAATAGTTGCATTACTAGTATAGTATCATCAAGAGAGTTTTCTGAATTTCTAATGAAAAATCTAATTTTGCAATTCATACAATTATTCCGCTAATTGCTTTTCAAATTCAAAATATCAGCCGAATTGATGTATACTACAAAAGAATGTCGGCAGATCAAGTTTCATTTAAGAATTTTGATCATTTTTCCGTCCTTCAACGGGTCTTCATCCATCCCTATATAAAATTCAAATTTCATAGCAAACTAAATGTGGGCGAAATAATTACCTTTTTCATATAAAATACACCTCTTCTAAACTTCATCCTGCTTCTTATTTCTCAAAAAATTCCAAAATCACTCTAATTTAATCGAAAAACTTGTTCTAGCAACAAAATGAGGATGAGAAATGAGAGTTGTTTTAATAGCTAACAGACGACAATTATTGCTTACAATTTGAAAGCTGATATTATGATTTTGTCAATCGAATAAACTTGATCAAAAGTAATATGAAAGGAGTGGAAAATTTAGCAACGAATGAAGAAGGTTTCACGAAAAACTTGTGTTTTAATAATTTTGATAACATGTTCAAATATATTGATCTTTCTATTATGTTTCTCACTTCTTTTTCATTTTAGATTTATTTCTTGCCACGTGAAAAAAGAATGGAATTAAAATATTAATTTTAAAAACAGATTATTTATTAGCAATTTTTATTGTCTAAAATATAAAACAGACAAATGAATGAGATAAATGCATAATGGAATGAAATACATTTGTAAGAATAATGCTTTGATATTTGGACGATTGATGAACAGAGAATTTTTGCGCTAAATTTTGCAAAGGGAGAAGCAAAAAAAACTGAAAAAATGATCGATGAGATGTGATAGGATGACAATCCATTACATTTCCGATGCTATGATTTATATGTGTCATTTAAATGTCCACCGAAACATAACCCACATAATGCGACAATAAATACTTTTTGTTGTATTAAATTTGAATTTATATTATTTTTGTACATATAGACAAGTGTTAAATTAATTTATATATTATATATGTGTCTGTTGTATGATTAATTGCAAAATTTTGCGAATGGTAAGTTGGACATTGAAGATAGTTGAAAAATAAAATCACTCTGCTTTAAATATAACTGATCTCCTCATAATTTAATAGTAGTGGAGTTTCGTAAGCTTCAGATCGCACATCTTAAAGATAAGCAGCATTACTTTTAACTCATTTAAGCAAATTATTTGAATCTCCAATTAGTAATTTACCAAAGAAGCTCTATGGTTTTCCCTTCATCCTAATCTTCATTACTGCATATATGCGCAAATGTTCTTTTTGAGATTGTCAAACATTTTGCTACTCCAAAACTTTAAAAATCAATAATATTGTCATATTGGAATGAGTGCGTGAAAGTTTCAAACCAATAAAAATTAACGATGGAAGCGTAAATTTTGGTAAATACTTTGAAATATTAATCTATCTTACCCGCTATGGTTAAAAAATTGATTACAGCTCATGGCCTTTCAAGAAAGTTCGATACTACCTTATACTTTTTTTACTGATGACTACTTGTGGACTGATCATTCTGTTAAAACTTAAACAAATTGCTTCCTTATCTCATCCATCGTAGGAGAACAACTCTAACTCCAAAATAGATCTCGTTTAGTACTGTGATGCCATCCATCTAAGAGAAGGATACATCTTGAAGGCTTTATTATCATCGTTCTAGTTTTCTAGGCTCTGGCAAATGAATTTTAGAAGAGTGGGGCCAGTTCCACATATGCTGTCCCTCACCTGAATCTCCTACTCAGGCTAAATGGATCTACCCAACATTTGTAGCGTGGCCTTCCCAAATCTTCGTTCGCCAAGCCTAGCTATGGTTGATGATCATTGTCCGTTTTTTTTTTCTTATGAATAAACAAATACAATGGTAAGGTTCTTTCGAAAATTTAAATCTTGACAATATTTGCAACTTCATGAAAGGAGTAAACATTTTCTCGAGAAAGTTCGACAAGTTTAACTGATTTGGCTTATTTGATGAATGGAATGAATGATTTAAGATGACAATGATTTGATAAGAAACGAATTGTCTTCTTACTAGTATATTAATTGGATCAAGCTCATCACAATTTGCTAACTGTGATAAATGACTTAGGACGTAAACTTGAAATAGTCAGGGATTGGCAAGGTATAAGCACGATCAGGGATCAAAGAAAATGTTAAAGATTAGGAGAGTTTTGATAGTATCATCGATACTAGCATAAACAGGCATTTGCAATTTAGTTATAAATTTCACCGAGAACCAGTTTTTGAATCATTATAAAAAGCAAAATCCATTTGTCATCAGACTTTACTTTTTCAGTGAGCAGTTTTGCCAATTTCAGCTTATGTAAATTTCTTGCTCCATTAGTTATCATCAATTAATTTCTTTAATCCAGATTTAGAATAGAGGAAATTTCACAAGAATATAAGATTTATTTATTGCATTATTTTTTTATTAACAGTAACTGATCCCTCCTTTTCTTCCTTCTCTCTTCTCTTGACCTTTCCGGCAATTCCCTGAAATAAACATTTCTTTTTAAACTTCTTCCTCATCTTCATTGTCATCGAAAACTTCCTGTCATTAAACATTTTTGCCAACAATTCCGTTTGATTACACAACTGACCGGATCCATGCACCACACCATTTACAAACTTTACGAAATTTTTCTTAATTTTGCTGTCATGAAATATGAAGTAATAAGTTAATTTTCCACGATGATTCATTAGTGCCTTCTTTTTCTTTCTATTTTTCCTTTTTTTTTAAATGCAACAAATTTTGGAATAAACCCAAAAGAGATTGTGTATTTATTCTGTCTTTCTGCTTATATCGATTTTTAAAATTTTTATGGATTTAAAAATTTTTAATTCGTCGCAAATCTAATCGGATTCCAAATATAATTTGCATAATTACTTCTCGATGAGAGTTGGAGCAATAAACTTCGGAAGTTATTTGAGCCTTTAGTCGTTTCTGAAAAATGGATACGGTTGATGATTGAATAACTAATTGAACAACTCGATCAACAGTGAACAAAATCTAATCGATTAATTCAGTAAGCAAATGAATTGAAGCGTGTGAATGAACCAGAGATGTACAATCATTTATTCGAAGTATGGCTTCCCAAGTAAAGCAATTAGATATTCAACAGGGCAGAACTGAACTGTTAAAAACATTTTGTCCACTCCTCTCCTTCGTTCTCAAATACTCTTGTTAAAATGCCATGCCATATTCTTAGCTCAGAATTTATCGATTCACTAAAGATAATAAATTCCTTT